TATAATTTCTATTAGTTATTGAGTGTTTTGGCCCCCTTTAAATTTTGTGCCTGAGACAAGTGCCTCGTTGTATCACCCTAGGCCTGGCCCTGTTGTAGACACTGTTTCCCATCAAGATTCAGCTCAAGCAACACTTCATTTAGGAAACCTGTCCCCCCGCAATCTGATGTGCTCCTAGAACATACCTCTGTTAGAGCATTTTCTACACTACGTGTAATTGTTAGCTTACTTGTCTGCCTCCCGGCTAATTGATATGTTCCTTAAGTGTATAAACACTTGTCTATGTTGGATTACCTCCCCAATTTAACAATAATAACAGCTATTTTTTAATGTTGAACACCTTATATGTATCATACACTATACTAAGCACTTTGAAATTTCACCTCTAATCCTTACAATGCATAGGGTAGGATTCTTACTCTCATTCAGTAGTTTGGGAAATGAAACACACAGTGATTAACTAATATGCAGCTAATAATTGATGGAGCCAGCTTCCAAACTGCCCACCTCCAGATCTCATGTATTTCCCATTAAACAATTTTGCTCAGTGTATCTCTTCAGAGGGGCAACAGCTTAAAGGTTCTATGGATGATGGGGGCTTGCAGACACATCTCAAGGTCTGTGTCCTCAAAATTTTACCCCAGAAAATTTTTGTGCCATAATGGAGCTGATTGTCTAAGAGTAAGATGGTGTCGCTGCCCGGTGGGGACAGTTCTCCTCACCCTGAGCTGGCAAGCCCCTAAAGAAGGTTGTCAGATGACGGAGGCCACTTTGAAGGCACATGGGGGCAGCAGCTACAGTGTGAGCGCCGAAATACAGGGTTGCCCAGGGAGCAGCATCCAGCAGCTTTCATTTTGGTTATTTTTTTCATTGCTCTTGAGAAACTCCTTTTTTAATCACCAAAGTCAAATATTCTCATTTGAAAAACTTAGCAAATACATTTCGACAAAGGAAACCCCACCAGGGGTTGACCCCACCACCCTGAGATAAAGTCTGTGAACATTTGCTCCATGGCCATCTCAACCATCTCTCTGTTGCTAAGCTTGGCGCTGCTGTCAGGATACTGGCTCTGCCCTTGTCCCCTCACCAGGACTGCTTGCTTCTCCTTCTTACCTGCAGTGTTTCAGCCTGAGACTTCCGCTTGTATGACAGCAACCCCTTTCTGTCCTGGGCACACTGCTAGGCTCTGTTTCTGCCAGCTTCCATGAAGCAGGATGCAACAAGGATTTTGATGCACAATCACACTTTGTTATTTTGTGTGTGGGTATTGTGGTATAAAACAGGTACTACTAAGAGAATCTAACATGTTAAAATTTCATATAGTTCAGGCAATTTCACCATGTTGAAAAGCACTCAGTGACCCCACTGGGGGTGCTGGGGCAGCTCAGATACTATGATATAAGCAATTTCTCTTGCTCTCCCCTCTCCTGTGCTTCTAAGGTAGGCCCTGCTCTCAGCCTGTTCTTAGCCTGTGTAAGTTCAGATCACTATCTCATATTCTCCATGTCTTCATTCTACCTGTTGTCCGCAGGTTCTGACCTTCTTCCACCCCTCAGTTTTCTGTCACCTACCTCCTTTTTCTCCTTTTTGATAATTTTCTATTTCCATCCTATGGTACCACCTCTACACATCTCTGCCTAGCTAATTATGTCCAGTTCCTCTCCCTTTCCCTTGTTCTATACTCCGTCATCTCTTGGTCTATTCCCCAACCTCCAATTCCTCTGTAGGCCTCCAATTAGCTTAATTGAATCTAGGTCACTTATGCTTTAGAATACCATCTTCATAGTACACATATTCATTTTCAAAGCAACACAAAGAGATTTTTACCACTTCCAAAAATAACTAAGACTGTTCCTCACACACATTTAAAATTCAACCTAGACAACTCTAACTCTTCTGGCATAATCATCTTTTTATGGAGATGAGTTTTTTGTACTACTCGTACTCCTATTTGTGACTGGTAAGGTCGGTTTGGTTTCTTATAGCTCATGCTTTCATGCCACCTGAATTGTGGACATAAATTCAAGGAAATGTCTGACTTCTAAAAATAACATAGCTTTTGGATGAATAATAATAGCTAACTCTTAAATAACGCCTACTATGCACCACATCACTGTAAGTGCTTTTTATATATATGTTTGTTCAATTCACACGACCACCCTAGGAAGTAGGCACTACTATTATCCTCGCTTTACAGCTGAAACAATTGAAAAATTAATCGGAGTAAATTACATTTAGGAAAAACTTCAAAATTGATGACAGTGGAGAATGGTAGTAGTATCCTAACCTGAAATTGTGTCTCTCTGTGTGTGTATGTGTGTGTATAAATGCGAGCAAAACTGTATTTCTATATCCATGGCTGTGACATACTTGTTCTCTTGGAAAATGGTGTAACAACTTTTCTTATTTCACAAACAGGAGATGAGAGAGATGGTAATCTAACAGAGTAATTAGTTTAAAATCAATTTATTTAAAAATCAAGCTTTTAAATACCTTCTTCCACTGATGTTATCTATGACTACATTTTACATTTGGGATTTCACTGTGACAAAATAATGAAAACGCTTACTAAACAGCCTGGCCTTCTCCTGCTATGAGATCTTTGGCATGAGCTCTGTGAAGACCTGGGTTCCAGATTTCAGTATCTTGAGGACGGCTAAGTTAGTTTGGTCCTTATTTCCCTTTCTAGCTGTATTATATTGTGTTCTCTGATTTTTGTTTTCCTCTCTAGAGGGTTGATTTTTTTTTCCCCTTATTGATGGAAAGGAAGATGAGCAAACACTTCAGTTCTAAGAATTCTCTTCATTCAACATAAATCAGGCGTTATTCATGTCAACAAACTTAGGAGATTATTTAGCAAGATCCTTGACAACAAGCCTTTCAACGTATTTTAAAGTAATATTATAAATGTAGGACTCAATACTTGCTTGTTGAATGAATGAATTGAAATTAAAGTCAGCTGGGTTAATGTCAATAGCATGATTTAGCATCAACACTTACAAAGAACTTACAATAGCAGGGCTTTACCTTTTAAAATCATTTTCTTAGGCTTTATTTTGAAGTTACCAAGACAGTTCTATTACGGGCAGTCTTCCGAGAAAAATGACACCGTAAAGCAAGTGACTTGTAAGACCAAGAAACAAATGAGCACTGTTAGGTTTGCAAAAAAGGAGAGAGTGGCATGAGATCACGCTTCATGCTAAAAATAATTGGGGGGAGAAAAATAACTCTGTATCTTACAAAACATGACATCTTTGTTCTTCACTAGACTGCTTTGAATCGGAACAGGAAGCCTGCTGTATTACCGTTTATGGCTTGGCAGTTATGTGCAAAGGCATGATGTGAAATAAAACATGGGTATTTTCAGTTAAAAGTTTTCTAAAGAAGCCATGATGCAACTGGGGAGTTTCACTAACACTGACTCAGCACCTCTGGTCCTATTTTGAGGCAGAACACTCAGCTTTAACATACTTCATGCCACTCCTTTTAGGCTCTGTCCCATCTATAGCAAAACTTCTCAGGAGCTGAAAACACAAAAGAGACTTGGTGAGCTCCCAGGAGCTGCAAGACTCAGACTGGGCTCAGGTATGAAGCAAAGCTAATGGGCTTCCCTCTCTCCACTCCTGAGTTTTCTTAGTAGTAATGACTCCATTCAAAAGTACCTGAACCAGTAAATGATAATGGAGAATTATTTAAGGGCCAGGACTAACCACTGGATCACTCTTTCACCTTCCATCATCAGTTTCATTTTTTCATTATATAATATTTATATATGAATAAAAGGGAATGAGGTTTATTCTGTCTTCAATGAACCTGTAGTCTAAAGGGAAAGGCTGACTCCTGTATTATGACTCTATTGCAGCAACATAAATAAGATTCTAGGGGACATTCTACTAGTGCAGAGGAGGGCGCATCCCCCAGTGAGGTGTGTGGGGTTCAGAGGAGTGTTTGGTATGGGAAGGATTTTTGGAGATGGATAGGTGTTTCCCTGATGCAACGAGGCTTTAGTGTAGCATGGAGGAAGAACTGCCCATGCAGTTGTGTGCTTCAGAAACTAGATAAGAGATTATGGAGTGTGTGTGAGAAATCACAAACCGTTCTTGTTGCTGCAATGTCAATGTGGGAAGGCGGTACGGAAGTTATGAAGCAGAGACCTGCTCATGCAGAGGCTCCTGGATACTGTGCTAAGGGACCTAGATTTTGTTTTACAGGAAGATGTGGAAGCTTTGAAGGGTTTGAGGCAGGAAATAACATGAGTAGGTTTCATTTTTGATAAACCACAGTGGTAGCTGTGTATGGGATCAATTTGAGAGGATCAAGTCTGAAAGCAAGAAACTAGTTGGAGATCTGGAATCATCTGGAGATCTTAGAAAAAGTCACTGAGTTTCAGTTTTGTTATACTCCTAAGAAAACATTGCAAGGAGGAAGGGTAGGGCAGGGCTCTGGAGTCAGGTGGCCTGGTCTGACCCACTGCTATGTGACCCCAGGCAAGTTATTTGTCTCCAAGTCTCATTTTCTTCATGTGTAAAGTGGGGATAACAATAAAGATCTCTTATCAGTTACTATGAAAATTAAACAAGATAATCAATGCAAATTGCATAGCACAGTGTCTAGTATTATATAGTACTGTATAAATGTTAGTTATAATCATCACTTAATAAAAAGAAAAATGAAAAAGAGGTAAGGTGGTGAAGAATATCAATGATATATCCAGACAATCCAACCACTTTTGCCAACCTAAAACCATAAATATATATTTTTATTCAAAGCAAGGATGCAGGGAAAAACTCCAACAGAATAGAAGAGTAAAGGGAATTTAGATGTTTTCTGCAAAAGACAAAATCCTAGCCTTATTCACAGGCATCCCAGTTTTCAGGGTGCAAAGTTATATAGTTGGCATGGCCTTGTGTTAAGTTAGATATAGAAAAAAAAAATCAAAGAATGGCATCAGTATTTCTGTAGTGCATTCACTGATGATGAGAAATATTTGATATCATCAGTAACTACAGAGTCTATCAACACTGGAAAGGCTTCACTGCCCAGAGATGTTTAACAAAATCTAAGTTCTTTCTGTCTGGTTTCATCAAATTTCACAGTATCTTTCCTTGTCTGTCTGATGATAATGGAGATAAGTATGGCCTTGAGGAGTTCATTTTATTCAATTTATTTTTTACCTATTTAATTTTCTTATTTTTCATGTATTTAAATTTTCTAATTTTATTTTTCTGAATTTAAACTTGAATTATTTACAAATGTTTCAAAATATAAAAAGTATTATTGAGAATTTAAAATAACATCAAAGGAAAATAATCACCCATATTTCCACAGAGCCCTAACTTAACTCTTTAATGACTGCCTTGGGCACCAGCCTATGAAATGCTTGGACTCAGAAGCCTTTTCTTGCTGTGGCTTCCCCTCTGCCTTCCCTGCTCTCACATTTTCTTGCCCAAATCTAGTCTGTGCTAGCCTTGAAAAGGGAACCTGGACAAGTACAGACTCCTTGGTTGAGCCAGTCCTTTAGTTGTGCTAAAGATGACTAAAATTATAGGCCAAGTTTTCCCAGGAAGCACTTCATTATTATTATAAAGATCATAGTTCTCTGTAATTCTGCAGTTCCTCTGCAGTCTATTTTTATTTATTTATTTATTATTTTTTTATTTTTTGCGGTATGCGGGCCTCTCACTGTTGTGGCCTCTCCCGTTGCAGAGCACAGGCTCCGGACGCGCAGGCTCAGCGGCCATGGCTCACGGGCCCAGCCGCTCCACGGCATGTGGGAACCTCCCGGACTGGGGCACAAACCCGTGTCCCCTGCATCGGCAGGCGGACTCTCAACCACTGTGCCACCAGGGAAGCCCTCTGCAGTCTATTTTACATGCAAGCAATTAACACAAAGAAAATAGTTGCAATGAAAAATACTCATTTTTTACAGACTCATAAACTGAGACAATCTAAATCCATGAAAGAAAGTAAAAAATAGCCAGAAAACCAGGTCAGAATACATTTTTTGCTGGAAATTTTCAGATGTTAGGACAAACCAAGCAGGAAATATTACTTTAAAAACTGAAGTATTGAAAGCAAAATTATAAAGCTCATAGATGGTAACATAGAAGAAAGTCAGGGTGAACTTGGTTTGGCTGTGACTTTTTAGATACAACACTGGAAGCGCACAATCTATTTTAAAAAATGGTAAGTTGGGCTTCATTAAAAAGAAAAGCTACCGCTTTGCAAAAGGCACTGTTTGGAGAATGAGAAGAAAGCCCACAGACAGGGAGAACACTTTTGCAAAAGACAAAAGTCTGAAAATAATAATTATTATGTCTGATAATAAACTTTTATGTAAAGTATTCAAAGAACTCTTAAAATACAACAATAAGAAAATAGACAACCCAAGTAAAAATGGGCCAAGAACCAGTACCTCACCAAAGAAGAAATACAGATGGCAAATAGAATATGAAAAGATGATCAATACCATATGTCATTAAGGAATTGCAAAGTAAAACAGCAATGAGATACTAACTACACACCTATTAGAATGTCCAAAATCCAAAACGCTGACAACACCAAATGCTGGTGAAGATGTGGAGCAAAACGAACTCTCACTCACTGCTGGTAGGCATGCAAAATGGTACAGCCACCTTGGAAAACAGTTTAGCAGTTTCTTACAAAACCGAACCACTCTTATCATACAGTCATGCTCCTTGGTATTTACCCAAATGAACTGAAAACATACGTCCACACAAAAACCTGCCTAAGGATGTTTATAGCAACTTCTTTCACAATTGGCAAAACTCAAACAATCCAGTTGTCCTTCAATAGGTGAATATATGTATAAACTGCTATAGCCATACAATGGAATAT